TGTGATCCCTGGGTGTGTCCCTCCCCTTGGAGAGTACTGCCCATGCCTCCCTCCCTGAAGCCTGGCCCACCCCAGCCAACATGACTCATCCTCTCCGGGGCCCTGAGGTTGTGCCTGGTGGCAGCTTTGCCCTCGGCAGGCCCAGTGGAGGCTGGCACATGATGCACACAGTGAGCGCCATATCTCTGGATCTTGTAGGACATGTTCAAAATCAGTGTGAACAGAAGCCCATGCTGTGCCTTCTGTGGGTTTTGGAGAGTGCTGCCTGGCACAAAGAGGCAGGGGGTGCTGTTCTGGGTTGGTGTCTACAGAGAGAAGAGCTGATGCTCTGTCTCCCTGGAGGCAGGGATGACGTCACCATCTTTATTGTGTGCTTTCTGCAGCAAATGTGCCCTCCGAAAACATTCCTGGTTTCAGCAGGACCTGTTCAAGAGGCCAAGTCGGTGTCTCTGCCCTGTGCCCTGTCTGCCAGCCACAGCTGTGTTCCAGTGGCCCCTGGGGCTCGCCCACCAATGGCAGCCAACAACCACACAGCTGTGGTGGAGTTTGTCCTGCAGGGCTTCTCTGGAGACCCTTGGCTCCAGGTTCTCTTCTCAGCCTTCTTTCTCCTCCTCTACCTCATGGCTCTTGCAGGAAATGTCATCATTGTCATGGCCATTGGTCTGAATCCAAGCCTTCATACCCCAATGTACTTCTTCCTCACAAACCTGGCCCTTCTGGACATCCTTTGCACGTCCACTGTCCTCCCCAAACTGCTGGAGGGCCTGGTGGCCATCTCCTATGGGGGCTGCATGGCCCAGCTTTTCTTTCTGACCTGGTTTCTGGGGGCTGAGCTGCTGCTGCTCACAGCCATGGCCTATGACCGCTATGTGGCCATCTGCCAGCCACTGCACTATCACGTGCTGATGAGCTGGCCCATCTGCATCCTGCTGGCAGGCAGTGTGTGGGTGGTCAGTGTGGTGAGCACATCTGTACACACAGGCCTGATGGCACGACTCTATTTCTGTGGTCCCAATCAGATCCGCCACTTTCTATGTGAAGTTCCCACGCTGCTGCTACTGTCCTGCAGTCCAACTATGCTGAACAATGTCATGATTGTCATCGCAGATGTCTACTTCGGTGTGGTCAACTTCTTGCTCACCATGCTGTCCTATGGATGTATCATCGCCAGCATTGTGCGCATGCGTTCAGCCGCTGGCAAACGCAAAGCCTTCTCCACCTGCTCCTCCCACCTGCTGGTGGTCACGCTGTACTACTCCACCGTCATCTACACCTACATCCTCCCAGGTTCTGGCTCCTCCTCAGAAAATGGCAAGGTGGTTGCTTTGCTGTACACAGTGGTCAGCCCCACCCTGAACCCTCTCATCTACTCCCTGAGAAACAAGGATGTCAAAATGGCCCTGGGGAGGGTGTTTGCCTGCACCTGGTAGATGAGGAAAGGCAAGTGAACTGTTCCAGCTAATCCCAATGTATGACTGAGAATCTGATGCCGTGGCAAGGAGTGAGAAAAGGATTCATGCAGTAGATTCATAATAATGGGACTCCCATAGGGCGCCGCCTTCCGTGAGATGTGCAGACATCTGAAGCCTGAGGGTGGAGGCCCTCAGGGTTTACAACAGGGAGAGTCCGGAGAGCTGGGAGGACGGGGAGAGCAGGCCACTGCTTCTCCCTCCTCCCACCCTGGTTGGGCTGCTCTCCAGGTGGAAGCCCCTGGAGCTCCTCTGGGTGGAGTGCTGCTGGCCGAGTCCTCCTTCAGGGTTGAGGCTCAAGGGATAGCCGAGGACCAGCTTACCCACCCGGTGCACAGCCTAGTACAGTGTCTCCGAGGGCTTGTCTCGATATCGTGCTTTGGAAAGCCACCCAGACCTGGTATACAGCTGCCTGCTCTTGGTGTGAGCTTGCAGAGGACTGGGGAACACTTCTCCTCACTGTGACTGTGAGGTGACAGAACTGCAGTCTAGCCTCCCACACCAGTGCCCTGAAAAGGTAGTGGTCGTACTTACTGCTCTTTTCTGGGACAGGAACACCCTGCAGCCAGGACATCTGCCGCTGAGGCAGAGTGCTTGTGGCTCCCACAGCATTGCTTCTGGGTTTCCTTCCCTCCTCCTTCCATCTTACCCTCTGCATCTGGCCTCTGAGGGAGGGACACCGAAGGGCTCAGGCAGTCAGGACAGATGGTGCGTGAGGAGGTTGGGGGCAGGGCCAGAACAAAGAGCATTTCCTGCTGGTAAAAGTGCTAGGGACACAAGTGGGGGACCCAATCACAGAAACTACTATACTTGTGCTCCTAAGCAGGGGACCCTATAGAAAAAACAAAGCAGACACACGGACAGTGGGGGCACAAGTCAACAGTAGTGAGGAGAACGTGGACAGGGAAGGAGATAAGGAGAGGAGGAAATTCCAGAGACCATAAGAACAGGCCAAACTCCCCCATGGACTCCCAGCTCTGGGCCCTTCTCTTCAGAGAAGTCCATGTCTGTCGCTTTTTCAATGAACCTGCCGCTTGCTTGCTGCCTCTGCTGTTCTTCCATTCTTTGCTGAACAGAGTCAACAAATCCACACCCCTGGACAGTAACTTGAATGCTACTGTTCTTGGCTTGCCTCAGATGCCGTCTCCTTCTCGTCTCCTCCTGGCACAGTCTTCTAGGCTGTGACACTCCCTGCCTTCATTGTCACTGTTTGCCAGTGACATCCAAAGTGCAGACACCTCTGTGCCTCTCCTCTGAACCCCACCTGGCTCTGCAGCTGCTCTGCTAACGCCCAGCTCACATGGCTGGTATAAGGCCCCATGTCCGCCTTCAGCCCTGTCTAGTTGTGACAGCCAGTTACTGACACTTCTTGACTTGTTTCCTGGATACTACGTGCAACCCATCCTCAAAGCCTGTGGACCTTGCCCTAGCCCTGCCTTCCAACTCTTCCACTGGCACCCCTTGCCATTCTTGAGGTATGTTTCTTTATACCTGTCGCAACATTTACAAAAGGTTTCAAGCACAGCAGAGTTGGCAGAACCCTGGAGTGGACACTCAAGCACCCATCACCCACCTTTTCTACCTGTGATTCCTTGCTACATTTGTAAACTTTATTTACTCCCATGCCAAGTTATCTGTTTTTGTGCATTTCAAAGCAAGCTTCAAACATCAGTACATTTTGTGCGGGGTTACTGGTGACGCAACCCAGGAGTAATCTACCACTGAACTATATCCCAGTCCTTTTTATTTTTCATTTTGAGACGGAGTCTTGCTATATTGCTGAGGCTGGCCTCCAACTTGGGATCCTCCTGCCTCATCTGGCAAGTCACTGGGTTTACGGGTGTGCACCACCATGGCAGACATCAAGACACTTTTTAAGTATTTCTGTGTGCATACCATTAGAGTTCAACATGTATTGATAGGGCCTTTTTTTACTTTTAAGGTAAAATTTTCAAACAACGGACTGCATAAGTAAGGGCCTGCAATACTGTTTTGACACATGCACACATTAGTGTAAATCACACCCAGGAGACAAGGGTGACACCCCGGAGGCTGAAGGGTTCCTGCTGCTGTTTCCAGGCTGCCCAGGCCCGCCCTCATGAGTGTCATGGCATCTCTGGTTCTCTACTTCATTATCGGCCATTCTCGCCCTCTCCTCGACCACCTGGCTCGCCCTGCCCTGTACTTCACCCCTCATGCCTCATTCCACCTGTAGACTCTGCCGCATCATCCCGCTTGCCTTGCCCCGGACTCTGCTCCCTAGCTCCCCCTGCCTCATCCTATCCTCAGTCATCCTGCCTGCCCTGTCCTCTGCCCTGTCCTCCTGCAGGCCAACGCTGCTCTCCTACGCATCCTGCTCCCCCATTCAGCCCTCTCTAGTCCCCTGTCCTCCACCACAACTCCCCACTGTTGTCCCTCCCCCTGCCCCTGAACTCTCCTGCAGTCACCTGGTGTTTCAGCCATAGGCCAGTTTTGAGCCTTTGGGAGTTCCTGTAAATAAGGCCACACAGGCCACGTTCTCTCATGTAAGGCCTATTTATTGCATAATATTTCTCAGATTCGTGTGTGTATAAGTGTTTTTCATTTCTGTTAGCATTATATTCTATGAATACAGTGTATTTCTTTATCCGTTTGAGTGTTGATTACTATAGACTCTAATTCTTTGCTATGATGAATAAATCCTCTCTGCACAATTACGTACAGGATATCCGATGTCCCTGTTTCTCTTGGTGTGATTGTGGGTGGCATTGCTGGGTTGGCATGTGTATACTTAGTTTTATTAGGCATTTTCTTCCAAAGCAATCATACCATTTTAATATTGCCAGAGATTTATAGTTGCTTCATAACATCACCTAGACTTAGTGAAAAAAATTAAAAAAAACGAGGTGGTAATTATTCCATCCTTTGCCCACAGCCCTCAATCTTGCCCTTGGGGTGAAGTTATGTGTTTGGGATTGTCTGGCATCTGGATTTCTTCTTTTGAAGCAGATAAACTTCCACAAACCTGCTCTTTGCTACTGCCCCATTGACATCCTACAAACTTTTAGAGTTCTGTTTTCACTTTCATCAGCATCACAAGGCTGACACACCTCCCTTTTGTATTCTTATTGATGTGTTATTTAGAAATACATGATTTAGTTTCAAATATGTGGGCATTTTCCTGAAACCTCATTTTTCCCTGACTTTAATTCCACATGGTCAGAAAACATACTTTGTATGACTTAAAGGCTTTAAAACTTGCTGAAGCCTGTGTTAAGACCCAGTGTGTGGCCTTTCTTGGTGAAGGTCCCCAGTGTCTTGGATAGAACATGCGTTCTGCTGTTGTTGGGTGGAGTCTGCTGTAAGCCTGAGTGATGCTCCTCATGAGGACCTGGGTCTGTCCCCAGGTGTTGGTCAGCTTCCCAGAGGGTCCTGAGCTCAGGCACTGGTTCTGCCTAAGTGGGGAGGTGGCTCTCCCTAATTGGTCCCTCAGGGCCTGGCCCCTCCCTGTAAGCCCTTGCCTCTGGCTATTACAGATGAGACAGGGCCTGTGATCCTTGTCACAGGTCTCTCACTGTCCCCACACATAGCTGCAGATGTCTCCCACAGTTCGTTGCTAGTGTTTATTTTGAACTGTTCTGTTTCCCAATGAAAGCTAATGAGTCTTTTTCATGGTAAAGAGAAGCAAGTTTCTTGAGAGGACAGGTGAATTTCAGGAATATTTTTACCACGTTCGTAAGTACCTGCTCTAAGGGGATGCTGATTCTCTATATCCTGTGTTTGACGAGAGATGATGAGGTTTTGATAACTGTGGTGGGGTGCTGTATTCTACATTGACCTCAACCTCTGGCTGTGATTTCTGAGGGGGCAAGTTCTCAAATCCCAGGTGAAATTTCACTTTCTTGTCTCACTGAGCAGCCTGGACAAAAAGTAGCATAAAATCTCTGGTGCTGGCGGGTGCTCAGTCATGCCTGCAGGCAGGCTTGCTCCTCCAGCCTCAGCAACAGGGGTTCAGTGAGGTGACCATGATTGCCAATGCACAGGTCATTGTGAGGACCCTGGGCGGCCCTGGTTGGGGTGCTGCTTGGATGTGACTGGGGAGCATTTGGTTAGTTCTTCTCATTCCTCACCCACTGACCCCTGAGGACAATTTTCCCTAGGACACAGAGCTCAGGTCACCGCGAGTTTGTGGGTGACCGCCTCCCCAGTCATGCTTGGTGCCTGTGGGCTGTGGAGCCAAGCAAACTGAGCAGGAGGCCAAGTCCTAAATGGTGCATTCCCTGGGATGGGTGAGGATAGGGGGTCGTTTCAGTGGCTCTCCCTGCAGAGTCTGGGGCTCAGAGGCACATTTATACCCCCCAGGGTACTTGAAATCCTGCCTCTAGTGGGTCTCACACAACTGAAGGGAGGCGTATTCAGAACAAGCAGGGACAGTGGCGTTTCTTTCTTTTACAGTGGGGGATCAGAGGTGTGGGGCGGAGCAGCTGCCAGGTCTCCACACCCAGGCCCTTTGGGATGAACCAGACGCTGGTGACCGAGTTCATCATCCTGGGATTTTTGGAAACGCCTCGCCTGCGAGCACTACTCCTCCTGGGCTTCCTAGGCCTCTACTTGGCTGCCCTGTCGGGAAACCTGCTCATCGTGGTGGCCATCAGCACCAGCCCAGCTCTGCACACCCCCATGTACTTCTTCCTGGCCAACCTGGCCGCAGTGGACATCCTCTGCACCTCCACCATTCTGCCCAAGCTGCTGGGCAGCATGGTGGCTGGCAGGACCATCTCCTATGGGGGCTGCATGGCGCAGCTCTTCTTCTTCACATGGTCAATGGGGGCAGAGCTGCTGCTTTTCTCAGCCATGGCCTATGACCGCTTCGTGGCCATCTGCCAGCCATTGCACTATGGTGCACGGATGGGCTCTCGGGCATGTGCTCTGCTGGCCGTGGCCGTGTGGGCCATCAGCCTCACCAACACCTGCGTGCACACAGGCCTCATGCTGCGCCTGCCACTCTGCAAGTCTGGCGTCGTTGAGCACTTCTTCTGCGAGATTCCCCCACTGCTGAGGCTGTCCTGCGCCCCAACACGTCTGAATGAGGTCATGGCCTTCACCGCGGACGTGTTCTTGGCCATAGGTAACTTCTCGGTGACCATGCTCTCCTATGGCTGCATCATCGCCAGCATTGTGCGCATGCGCTCAGCAGCGGGCAAGCGCAAGGCCTTCTCCACCTGCTCCTCCCACCTGCTGGTGGTCACGCTGTATTACTCCACCGTCATCTACACCTACATCCGCCCCGCGTCCAGCTACGCACTGCGCAAGGACAAGGTGGTGTCCATCATCTACACCTCTGTGGCGCCCACCCTGAACCCGCTCATCTACACTCTGAGGAATAAGGACGTCAAAGTTGCACTCAGGAGACTTCTGTGCTGCTGCTGAGCTCCCCAGGCCACCAGCTCCCAGCCCTGAGGGGTCAGGGGCCCGTGCCCAAGGACCACAGCAGGGACAGCACCCCACCTGGGGCTTCCCCAAAGCCCTCCTCCCAGACCCGGTATGCTGTTTAACAAGGGGGCAGGCGTTGGGGTGCCTGTGCCCTCTGCTGTAAATACATTTAGGAAATCATCAGACGGTGATTTGTGCCCTCATGTTGACTTGTCCCCTCCACGGTGGCTTTTCCGGTCTTTCCATGCTCATTTGTTCCAGTCATGCTGCCCTTTCTGTCCCCTCCTATTGATCTATCTCCTGTGTGTGGCTTGTCTGTCCCCAAGGCCATGATGGTTTCATGTCTCCGTCACTGTTGACTTTTGACCTCCCCTGCAGACTGCAGTCTCTTTGTTGACAAGGACACTGTGTTGTCCTTATCTCTGACCAGGCACAGGGCAGGTACCCAGTAAATATCAGTTGACTGCCACGAGGATGAAGGGAGCCAAGATATGTGCACCACTTAGGTCACTAGGACTAGGCTCAGAAAGGCCAGGCAGAGGCAGTCTGTGGTGTGGTTAGTAAGGCAACTGACAATTCTCTGCTTTCCCCTAATCTGAAACACTTCCTGTCCCTGTGGAGAGTGGACGGGGCATTAATGGTGGTGAGGGGAAGAGAGTGCACTACATCAGCCTGCTTTGCTGCTTGGACTCCAGGGGAAGAGGGGCCACAGGAGGGCATTCAAGGGTGAACCCTAAGCCACCAGGGCTGTGCCGAGGGGTGTTCATAGCCACCATGGGCCTCCAGCCAGGGCATCCTCAAGTGGCCCAACCCACTAAGTCCTGCTCCTCTGGCTTCTCCTGCTCCCTCTGGGACAGAACCCTGAAGAGTAACCATGAGTCTTTTCCATTAGAGACATTTCATGCAGTGAAGTTAGGAAACCTAGATCGGCATGAAGGAGATCACAGGAAGAGCAGAATCGTGGTGACTGCGTCCAGAGGGGCCTTCCTTCACATTCTCCTCTCTCAGTCTTCCCATGTGCACAAGCCACACACAGCTTGGTGTCAGTCTGCACACAGGGTTTTGCACACAATCCCTTCAGTTCAGAGAATGTGGCCTGAGTCCTCACAGGTCATTGCAGACTTTGCCACCAACTCCTGGTAGAGGCTCTTTGTGGCAGCAGGTTTAGGGTGTAGCTACCCATGGGCCACTGCCACTCAGACTCCACCTCTGCAGTGCTGGGTGGCACCCTCTCCCCAGGCCCTGAATGGAGTCTGGGCACTTGGTGAGCAGCCCTGGCTTTTCTCTGACTTTAGAATAAAGTGCACACATGTTCAAGGATATTCGGGAAAAGAAAAATTAAAATGGAGGCAATGCACTGTTTCTAGCATCACATAGACCGTCTTAAAGACAATGTCCAGAAGTGTCTTAGTAACAACCACAAGTGTTTCAGGTGCTGGAGAATGATCAAAAGGAGACAGGAATGAGAAAGATTTAAACCTTGACAAATTTGAGTCATCATGCCGTTTTTCCCTGAGGAGCCTTTTGGGCAGGCTGTAGGAAGGTTGGAAGTAGTTGGCTAGCCCAAGTCCTGTTGGCTTAAGGATCAGGGGCAGAGCTGTGGCCCCAGGGTAGTTCGAATTGAGGAACCACAGGGGCCAGGGACATCCAAATTAATATGTAGTGTTTTCTTTTTTCTATGTAATTACTTTGGCATCCTGATTTCTTTTTCACAAAATTTTCTCCTGGTGTACAGAAATACCACTGACTTTTATATGTGGATTTTGTATCCTACAATTTTCATGAATTTATTTTTGAATTCTAATAGATTTGGGGCTGGTGGGATGGAGGCCTGGTAAGCTTAGCCATTCATTCCAAGGGTTTCATCTAGAGACCAGGAGTCATTGGCAGAGTGGAGAGTAAGTGATCATGGAAGGGGCTGGGCAGCCCCAGGACTTGGCTCTGCACCCACAACTGGATGTCTCCAGGAGGAAGATGCTCTCCTCAGTTCAGCCAGGCATTCTGCAGGATCTCGAAGGATGTGCAGCTTCCCCGGGAAGCTTAGGTTTATGGAAGATAAATACCAGCACAAGAAATATAAACTAAAAGTCCCCAAGAAATGGTTTTGATTTCTAGAGGTGCTATTGATAGTGAGAGAGAGCACAAGATCTTAACTAGATTCAACTAGATGCAACTAGATTCAGCATATTTTTAACATTATTGAATCTGGGTAATAGTGATGGGGTACATTATACTTTCTTTACTATTTTTCCACATGTGGAATTTCCTCTACTCAAAAAACAAGACCTCATTGCTACAGCATGGGTGAATGGGATGGAACTCAATGAAGGAAATATTAAGTATCAAACTCAGGAGGCAGCAGAAACAGGACAGAGAAGGACTAGAAAGCAATGAGCCAGATGTCAGACCCAAAGTACACTGTGTGATGATCCCAGGGAAAGGCAGAGGTCAGAGGACAAGGATGAACGCAGAGATGGCGAAATGCAAATAGGTGAGACTCTTCTTCAAAGTTTAGTGGAATGGGCAAACTTGAGAACAAAAAAGTACAAGTAAACAGCATTTAGGATGAAAAGAGGGCACAGTGATAAAAACAACAAAGGCTGGCAGGATAACACCAGACCTAAGGGAAGGCAATGGATTTAAACTTAAAAGGAATCACAAAACCCCGAAAAAAATAGACTTTCCTACAGCCAATCCAAGAAGAAATATAAAGCCTGACCAGTTACACCCTTAAGTAAACTGAAGTATAAATGACTTAACAAAGCTTTATTACAAGTAAAATTATGAGGTGGTCTAAAAAGTGAGTTATTTCCAACTTTCAAAAAGCAGATTATTTTTCCTATACAAACTTCAAAAGGATGAAACCGATTGGACAGGCATCGCATCTTTCCATGAAGAGCGGGCGACCCTGACAGGAGAGGGAGTGCAGGAGTCAGCAAGCCACACAGTGGCCACAAGCCCACCCTCTGGGCACAAGTGCATGAGCACAGCAAAGACATATTTTAAGCTGAGAGAGAGCACAAGATCTTAACTCCATAGATGCAACTAGATTCAACATATTTTTAACATTATTGAATCTGGTATCCCAGGGCTTCCAGACCAGCTCCACACTAGAGAACACACAAGTGCTGTTCACCTCGTTAGCACACAGGCGAAATGCTTGTTAGGATGCCTTAGAATCCACACTGAAGAGTGCTTGGAAACTTTCAGGGTGGTAAGGACTCTAAGGATGTGATGGTGAAGGAACTGGACTGGGAAGCTGGTTCCTGCCCTCACCTCCAATCTTTAGCTGAGGGTCAAGGCAGAGTGATGGTGGTTGAAGTAAAGGAGTGAGCTCATAAAGCATGGAGGAGACCTACCACGCAGTGGGCATGGAGCCCAGCCCAAGTGCTCCCCCTGCTGTGGAGCCATCCACCACCACCAAGCATGTGAGTAACAAGGTGTACAACACCTCTCTGTTGAGTCCTCCAAGTTCTCTGTATTGGTGAGTAGACCCTGGGGTGTTTGCAGCCCTGACGCTGAACAAATGCTTAGAAGCATTTAATACAATCCGATGACAATTGCTAACTTAGGAATTCTTTAGACTCAAAATAAAAGGGAACATTTTTAAAAATTTACTTTTTAGTTGTAGGTGGACACAATTTCTTTATTTTATTTTTATGTAGTGCTGAGAACTGAACCCAGTGCCTCACACATGCTAAGCAAGTGCTCTACCTCTAAGCCACAACCCCAGCCCAAAAGGGAACAATTTAAACTTCCATTAGGATATCTATCAAAACCCTGCAACAAGCATTAGTCTTAAAGGAAAATTCTAAGAACATCCTCATTAAAATAAAACTTAAAGCAACAGTATACTGAGGTTCTATTCATGCAGTAAGACAAAAAGCAACGTTTTAGAAATAAAGATTGGAGAAGAGAAGGTGAAGCTCTTGTTTGTCATGGATGATAGGACTGTCTTCTGAGAAACCTCAAGAGGATCCATGCAGAAATCATGGGAATCAGAGAGTGCATGCAGCAAGAAGACTCTGGATCAACAAGCAGAAAGCTGTGTCACTCCACTCCAGCTATAGGTAGATGGAAAAGGTGATTCACAAAGAATTCTGTTTTAAGAATCTCAGTTGCCTAAGGATAACTTTAACAAAAATGTGTACAATTTATATGCAGAAAATCATTAAAAGCATTTTAAATGGCTTAAATTAATGAGAATTAATTGTGTACCATAGATAGGAAGAAGCAATACTTAAAGATAGTTCACAAAATCTATGCAATTATAGTCAAAATCCTAAACGATTTTTTGAGGAATTTTAACTGAATCTTAAAATTTATATGGAAGAACAAAGGGCCAAAACACTCCATATGTATATATTAAAATATACAAAATATATGTCTACTTATGTCCTGGTAGGACTCACCCTATTCATTTCAAGACTTAACATAAAGCTTTAGTTATGAAAGCAGTGTGTAGAAGGAGGAATTGGGGATCAGAATGAGGTCTTGGGATATTTGTAGTTACATGGGAAAAGCAAAATTTTATCCTTAGTCCTCACCGTACACAAAAGTAAATTCTACAAGGATTTCAGTGCTAAATGTAAAAAGTAGAACTTTACAAATAGGAAACTATCTTTCCAGAGTAAGGAAGAATCTTTAAATTTCCCCAAAAGGTCTAACCCCCAAATTAAAGACTGATAATTTGAGAATACCTGTTTGAAAGGAAGGGAAGGAGGGAGATAAACATAAATAGTATGGAAGGAAAACCAAATAGAGGAAAATACCATTGTAGCACATAGATCTGAACAAGAACTATTAACCAGAATCTGTAAGGCACCCTACAAACAGAGATTCTCTGTAATCAGGGAAATGGAACTCAGCTCTACCATTTCACATGCACTAGCTTGCATGAATGAGGATGTACAAGCAGCAAGCATTGAGAGGTGGCCCCCGGGCAGGGCCACCGTGAGTTTAAGTTTGCAGGTGGTTCAGGTACTCAGGAAATGATGTAGGGCTGCATGTTTAAGGGTGCAGGTGCAGCCTAGCCTAGAGATATTCTTACACAGTGTTCTGGAAGCATGTGCTACAATGTCCCTAGCAACACTCTTTGCAAAGGCTAAAACTTAGGAACAGTCTGGCAGGATAGAGGGTAAATAAAGTATAAAATATCTATACCCATGAAGTTGATGACCCACAGCCACATCTCACATTGTGGACTCTTCTTCTAAAGGTAATAACAGGTGAAAAATTCAGGTGTCAAGGAATATAAATGTCACAAAATCACTTTTAAAAAAATAAAAATAAAACTATATAAAGACATAAGAAAGAAAATCACAGAGAATATTAAAAGCAAACTCCAAAGAGGCCACTGGCTCTGAATGTGTTGGTGTGCAGGCAGATGCCCCTGGGATGGGATGTGGCAGTGTGGTTAGTAATGGGGGCTTGGTGTTTGTTGTATTAGCACTCTTTACAATTTGCAGAAGTGCTCATCAGTCCTTGCTATGTGTCAAATATTAGAGCATCAGAGCCCTATCCGGCCCGCATGGCTGAGTGCCAGCAAGGCCCAGGTGCCAACACCTGAATGTCAGTGAGAATCCCATGCAGAGCCCTGAGCAGCTTCCTCCACCCAAGCAGGGGTGACTCTTGGCTCAGGAGAACAGTGCTGTTTACTCCCAGAATGTTAAACAGCAGCTTAGACTGGTGCTGGAGGCAGCTAGTAAACCAGAGGACCCAGTTCTGAATTCCCACCTGAGGTAGGAACTGCTTTCCTAGGCCAGGCTGGCCTGAACTTTGGACACTGTGATGTTGTGCGTTCTATGCTTTGGTTTTTCTTGGGGGATTTTTGGCTTTTGTCAAGGTCATTGTTATTAGTTAAGAGTAGTTGAACATAAGATAGTTGTCTGGACAGATTTCTATTTTGAACCTTTTTATTTTATTAGAAATAAGAGCTTAGTAAGGGCCCTGCCTTTGATCATATAAACAGGAGGGAGCCCTGTACCCAGCTGTTCTGAGAAGGCTTCCCCCACCATCGCTACTCAACTTCCTCTCACTATCTGGCCTTCGAGTGTCACAGAGGAAGGTTCTCCTCTCTCCACTGTGGTCTCAGGAGTTGTGGCTACTGCACGGTCTCCTAAGGGCCTCTGGTCCTTTATGCTTGCTTCTTGTGAGCATGAAGGAAGGGAATTCAGTGCACTGAGACTGACAGGAAATGCTTCTACCAGGTGGTGTTCCTCTAACGATGACTCAGCTCTCTGGAGGAGACTGGGATCAGGGAAGCCACGGAGGACTGTGAATACCAATGCCACGGCCAAACACTGATTTCCAAAATAGAAGAAAACATGTTTGAATAAATTTGAAAATACCAGTCTGAAGCTAAAATTCCTGAGAGTTGAGTGGCATGTGGCATGGAGACAAGTCTGTTGAAGGTTGCACCTTGTCCAGGTCAGGAGCTGCTGATTAACTATTCAGGTTAATTTAGAACAAGTGTAAATGTATTTCTATACTGAGGCTGGCAGCTCTTCATGGTGCAGGAGAGTCAGCAAGTGGGTGCTGTGGTCTGAGGGCAGAAGGAGGACTTGTTCACCTGGCTCACAGGCGCAGAGCCAGTGGACACCGCATAGCCTCGCTTTCACACAGACCCAGGAACAGAGGCACCACCCCTAAGCCACAGGGGATTCGGGTGCTTTGCATTTTAATTTTCCTTATTGTTCATCATATTTTGTATCTTACACAATGATGTAGGACTTACATAAAAATACACAATTATAATACATAAATTAAGATTCTCCCCATGTTACCAGTGAAAAGACAGAATGAAAAACAGTTTTCTTACTTTTCTTACACACACACAAAAAGACCCACAAAATACCTAGAGACAGCCCTAATGGAAAAGTGGATGTGGGATTGTATGAGGAAGTAATTCACGTAAGAAGGTGCAAAGAGGTGTGCAGCACAACTGTCTTGGTAGTGAAATACACTCTTCCAAGTATAACTCCTTAATAAAACGAAGCCAGCAATGAAGTTTTCTTTTTAGAATTTTACAAAATGATTCTGGATAACTTCTGCCTAATTATCTACAATAAAATATCTTTTTAAAGAATCAGACATTATTAAAATCTGTGTGGCAGTTTTCTCTTAGAAGTTGCATTCAGTGACCAACAAGGATGGGCTGGAACAGGGTCACATAGCAGGTTGCTGGCACTTGTCACAGCTCTGGAAACATCCAGAGACACTTTAATTCTCCACTAAAAGGGAAATTTTTCCTTTTCCCCCATAGGTCAGTCTGGGGGGTGGGGAGCTGTCCCCTTTGACACTGGTTGGATATAGTGTGCGTTTGGGTCACGTTTGCTCAAGCTTGTTTGGGCTTATGTAAGGCAGCACCAGGCACGTGCTGGCCACTGCAGACAGGCCAGCTCAGGTGGTACAAACACAATCTCAGAATCTGTCAACACTTTTCTTTGCCTTTTAAGACTTTTGCCAGTTTACTTAACAAAGTTCAACGGTTTTCAGAAGCTGAGCTTTCCTCCTCCGCCCTCAGAGTTTTACAGGTGGTGAGCCAGGGGCTCTGGCTGCCTAAACAAACCACAGTCGGAAGTTCAGAGGCATTTGCATCACCTGAGCTGGCACCTGTCTGCAGTGGCCAGCACATGGCTGGTGCTGCCTTACATAAGCCCTGCCCAAACAAGCTCGAGCAAACGTGATCCAATCGCCCCACCATATCCAACCAGTGTCTAAGGGGACAGTCTCCCATCCCCAGACTGACCTATGGGGAGAAAAGGGAAATTTTCCCTTTCACTAGGAGAATCAAAGTGCCGCTAGGTGTGTTTCTGGAGTTGTGACAGGTGCTAGCAACCTGGTATTGACCCTGACCCGGCTCATCCTCTTTAAGAGAAAACTGCTTCAGGAGTAGGCCTTTGAAATGAGTGCCAGCCACCTCTAATAGTAAACTAATACCTTGGCAGCAGGAGAAGGGAGGTGGCATTGGCTGGTTGACCACCCTCCTTCTCTGTACTTTATTATAAAAGTTTCCCTCTGCAGGGATCATCCCCGTGTGTCAGCAGAGGGCCCCAGAGGTACCATGGCTGCTCTTGGCATTACCCTTGCACTGCTGGTGTGGATGGTCACCCTCCTGCTCATATCCATCTGGAAGCAGATCCACAGCAGCTGGAACCTGCCCCCAGGACCTTTCCCACTCCCCATCGTTGGGAATGTTCTCCAGGTGGACTTGAAGGATATTCCCAAATCTTTTGCCAGGGTAAGAGAAACATTGTTATTTTAGGGAGAATAAGTCAGGAATGAGATCTGATACATGTGTATTCAATTCATTGTCAAAAAAACTGTTGCTTTCTAACACCAGTCTTTTATGGAGTAACGGGATGGGTAGCAGCACCCAGGAGTCCCCTCCAGAAAGCTCCACTGGTGTTGCAGCCTGGGCACTGAACATGGAGGATGGGCATTAAACACCAGGCCCAGAGGTGCCATGTAACCAGAGTGATCATTGGGAGGTTTGGTGCAGTTGGTGCAGCCATGGGCAGCTCCCAAAGAAGCAAGGGGTGCATTCCAGCTGGTATCTACCATGCTCTACCCAATACCAACACCCGCCTCCCATTGTGGCTGAGCACACCCTGTGAGCTAACCAAGGCCAGTGTGCTCTGGGGTACAGGGGTGGCACTTGGTATTTGTATGAGGCGTCATTATGTATGATAGAGGCTCCAGGTCAGCCAGCAGTGCCCTGCGGTCCAGGACCTTGACTTAGGAAGTGAACAATGGGGTGACGGAAGTGGGCATTGGCTACAAGATTGCAAGGGAGGGACATGAGGAGCCAAGGTCCAGAGTTGGTGTACAGACAGGGAGAGATGCTCCTGCAAATGCAGCAGCCTCTTGTGGGGGAACTTCCCTACACCAGCCGCACAGTCTTTCCCCACATCCTTCCAGTTCTCTGGTGGATTACAGTAACAGTGATCAGGCGAGGCCATCTTGAGTCAGTCACCTTCACCCACTTCCCAGCTCACTGTTTGTGTTGGTCCCTGCAGCTGGCGGAGCGCTTTGGGCCTGTGTTCACACTGTACTTGGGCACGCGGCGCGTGGTGGTCCTGCATGGCTACAAGGCTGTGAAGGAGGTGCTGCTGAACCGCAAGAACGAGTTCTCCGGCCGAGGGAAGATTCCTGCATTCCAGATGTATGAGGACAAGGGTGAGTGTGTTTCCTA